AATTAAATCCCTATGAAATTTTTTCTATTTAAGATAAAGTTTTGAAGTAAACTTTTTTATTTTAAGTATAATACACTTATTTGAATCGTGCATGGAATAAGCATTTTATGAGATATTACAATTTTTACAGCGTGTTATACACGCCTAACAGGAATTTTTAACCTTTTTTTGCTACTTTTTTACAAAATAATCTATAAAAAATAGTCTAATTGTTATTTCAACAAATGCTCGAAATTGTTAAGATGAATATTGTAATCACTAAGGAAATTTTTTTTAATTGAAAATATGCTAAAATAAAAAAGCCTTGGGGATTTAAAAATTTTTAAAATTTGAAAAAAATAAACAGTTTAATTATTATTTGAAGATAAATTATTGATTATAAGTTAAATGATCATGCAAAGCACCCACAAAATGAATGATAATACCTTTATTTAAGAATATTGTTGCTGTGACCCCTTCAGTAGTTGAAGTCGATGTCTTAAATCGTAGGATTTAGAACGGTGCACGATTTACGTGACATTTTAAACAAAGTGTCATTCCAAATCAAGAGAACATAACAGAATTAGTTTCCTACTGCGATGTATTTAATAATCTACTCGTTGCAGTGGTTCTGCTTTACACTGCACGTTCAAAATTACATTGAAAACTTGTAAAACCGATAAAATTTAATAAGAACTACGTGGATTTCCACTTGAAAAGAGCTTCGTAATTCATCCGACAAAGTATTTTTTACTCTTCTTTAGAAATCATGGGTGGTACGATTTAAGCAAATGTCTTCTGCATGTTTTCAAATCTGTAAATTAAGGGAAGTTGTTCGGCCCTACCAATCCACGATTGCTTCACGGATTGAACTTCTATTGAAATGAAATTCAAACCTCTACTTCATCCGCAATTTCATATTTATTTTTTTTTAATTCCTATTTTGCTTTGGCTTAAAATAAAAATTCGTTCAACATTTAACGCCAAAATTAAGTAAATATTCCAAGAAACTGAAATGGTAAGATATATTTGATTAAGAAACTTCGTTGAATACATGAACGTTGAATATATGAAGAATACGTTGAAATACGTTGAATATATGAAGAAAAAGTCGTACGAAATAAGAACTATAGCAAAATATTGTTTTACACTTTTCGGTAATTATTTTATTTTTGTATGTTGCATTATTTTAATTGCGTATTGTGACTGGAGGCAGTTTCAAATGAAATTTATGATTAAAGTAATTGTAGTTTATTTGCTATGTCATTTAGTGGTTGTACAAGATAACGAATTATATTTATCACAAACTGCTGGGTACCTTAGTGACGTCATAGGGTTACTTTTAACATAATAAAGAGTGTTAAACTTTTTTGTTTTGAATAATAACTAAACTAAACTAAATTTTTGATGATAGAAAATAATATTTAGAAGAGATGATATTTAACCATTATAAGAAGAAATCGTTCCATAAGGACAAAGCATTTTGATTCATTTGACCATCTGGATCTTGCTCGTTTGATGTTTCTGCTCACTAAAAATTCAACTGACCACAACGAGGAAAAGTTTTAGACTCTCTTGTTACGTTATTTACTTGTATTTTTCCATGTTTGAAATACAGTCGGACTTCTATTTTAACGAACTTCCATTTTACGAATTTCTCTATTTTACGAATCTTTTCGAGGAACATTTTGGGAAATTTCTTCATAAAAATAACTTCCAAATAGCGAAGTGAATTTTCTAATTAACGAACTTTTCATTAAGATCCCACTTTATTTTCCAAAACATTTCCTAACAATTCAAACTTGTTAACGCATTTTATGGGGTAAATGACCCTGAATTAATTTTCGAAGTCACTGCTTTATGAAATGTAATATTGTTTTCTCTAAAATTTATCTTAGAGAAAGCAGTAATTTCCCTTTTTGTTTGCATTTCAAACGAAATACTCAGTTCAAAAAATTAACGGATTTTATCGGTAGCCATTAAAGTTAAGAACTCATGTGGTTATGTATGTTTAAAATTACTTTTATAATAAATGCAACTATAATTTTATGCATAAATTTAGCCTTTTTTTAGTTGAAAATGTATGTAGCATGATAGTGTGACACTAGATAATGTTTTGCTCTGTTCTTGCTTTCCATGCAGATTTCTTTTATGGTTAAGATTTATAGAATAAATAGTAGATACTAGTTTACAAGATAGAAGTGCATTAATTGCTATTTTAATTATGCCTAGTGTTTATGAATTTAAAACCTGTTTTGCGTTGCTTAAGTGTTTCAAAAGGTGATTCTCTATTTGACGAATTTTCCATATAATGAACTTATTATCTGGATTTAGTGACTTCGCTAAATAGAGGTCAGACTGATCGATACTAAATGAAATAATTTTTAAAGAATGAATAATCAATTTTAAAAAAAGAGTTGATTTCTTTTATAAACCGCTTAACCTCCCCCCCCTCCCCCGCAATCCAAACACTATTGAACCTAAAAGAACCATTCGAAAAATATGATTCTTTCATTTTTATTGTTTAACTTTTTCTCCAAAAGGGTACGTTTTTTAAAAAGAATTTCATTTGGAATAAAACGTTCATTTAAATGAATCTGACAACTGTTGTTTTAAAAACTGTGGCAAATTTGATGTTAAACGGCCCGAAATATGCAATTTAAAGGGTAAATCTCATGAAATACCAAGACGCTAAATATTTCTGTGAATTTGAACACAAGTTAGCAATGCATTTTCGGAATACCGAATAAATGGAACACTCTTTGTTACACAGCTTTCGCCTAAAATAGTTGACACCATTAACTTTTTTTTTTTAACTCACGCTATGTTTTATTTATTTATTTTTATTTTATTTTATTTTATTCTAAATTTTATGATAAATACGGTAAGCACAATGTAAAATTTTCTCGGGAAAAATTACTAAAATTTAAGGAAAGAAAAAAGAAAATTTATTGAAAAATTTTATTTGGAAATTTTATTTTATGAGAAAAAGGTTAGCAATTTTTGAAAGGCAGTTTGTTTAAATCGAAGAGAAATTTTTTCTATTCGCATAAAGTTCGTAATAGGCTCGTTTCCAGAGACAGGACTCATTCTTTTTTGTAACTTAAATAAATAAATAATAAAATGAATTTGTTCCCTATCAAATTCATTGCTCTCTCTCGTTGAAAAATTTTAAGTAAATTAAACAAAGCTTGTATATCGAATCTTGCCAGAAATGTTCGTTTAAAAAAAAATGGATAATAAATGTCGAATTAAAACACTGTTATTCCGTGTACAACACTCTGAAAGAAAAACAAACATCATATAAAAAATAAAAAAAAATATTTGGACATTAAAGAAAATAATTATTCCTTGTTGAAAAATTCTTGTATTGTTTCATAAATTACAGTGTACACCTACTTATTACAAAAATATACAATATATTTTTTTAATATTATTAAAATAGTGGTGTTCTAATTGTAAAATAAATAAATAAATCATTGCATATTTTTTAAAATATCCTCTACATGAAAATGATAATCACGAAATTATGTTGTTAAAGAATAAATAAGCCTCTTAAAAACACAACAACTTTTTAGATGAAAAAAAATTTTTTTTACATTGTTTATAAACTTATTAAACTTTTCAATAAGTAAGAAACGCTTTTTTTAATTAAGGAAATGACCTTGAAAAATTTTCAAAAATGGAAAAATAATGGGAAGCGCTTTAACTGCATTTTCCTCAAATTATTATTTAAAAGTAGTTATTAATCTTCTCTCTTAATTATTCGTCATCAATATATTTAATTCTTAAGACTTTTAATACGAGATGTAGATGCACATTATAAATGGTAACAAGAATATAAAAAAAACAAGCAGGGCGATTCCGGAATAATTTTGATTAATTTTTCGCAATGATAGTTAAAGTGATCTAGCTTATATTTAATAATTTATTGTATTTTGTTTATAAAAAAAAAATGTTCCGACAAAAAAAAAATAAAGCAGTTATTCGGCCAAATCTGTTGTTATAATGCCGAAAAATATTAACTTCTTTTTTATTGGGATAATAACTCTAATAGGCAGCACGAGTCAAGAGGGGGGAAAAAAGATAACTAAGAGAAAAAATTATACTATAAGATTAAATTAAAACTTTTTTGATTTTTTTAAAATTCCTTGAGTTTCTTTTTTCTTTTGGAACAGCCAGCATTAATTTATTTTTCTAATATTTTCTTTTTAAAAAGTGTCATTTATTTTTTATGATTCTCATAATTGAAATTTTGTATATTAGTCAAAAGAGTTTTTGATGGTTCTTACACAGTATCATCATTTATATCTACACACAATGATATTCCTATTTTCAAAAATTAGAACAAACGATAAATTTAAAAAATTTTCTAATATTTTTGTTTCGTTTTTTTTCCCCGTATTAAAATTTAAAACAAGTTTCATTGGATCCAAAATTTGGATATCTTTTATTTCCTTCGTTTTTTTAGTTTTAAATCTATCACCTAATTTTTTTCTGATCACACGTAACATGCAAAAATTATTGATTTGTCACTTTATATTGAAATGTTAAGAAAGAGCTCAGACATTAATGTATTTTTCTAATATTTTCTTTTTAAAAAGTGTCATTAATTTTTTTATGATTCTCATAATTGAAATTTTGTATATTAGTCAAAAGAGTTTTTGATTTTTCTTGTCATCATTTACAACTACATTCAATAATATTCCGATTTTTAGAGATTAGAACAAACGATATATTTTAAAAATTTTCTAATACTTTTGGTTCGTTTAGAGTTTTTTTTTTTCTCCTATTAAACTTTAAAACAAGTTTCATTGGATCCAAAAATAGGATATATTTTATTTTCTTTGTATTTTTAGAGTTTAAATCCATCACCTAATTTACTTCTGATCACACGTAACATGCAAAAATTATTGATTTGTCACTTTATATTGAAATGTTAAAAAAGGAGCTCAGATTGCTAAATATAAAAAGAAAATAGAGAGCAAGAGAGAGAAATCCGAGAACAGAGGGGACATCATAATAATATTACAAGCAAACGGGCACTCCCCCTTGGTCATCGGATTGGATAACAAAGCCACTAAGCCAGCCAATCAGACTCACCTTTCGCACCGTTCTTTGCCACGATCACAAGCATGTCCATCCGTTCTTGCTGCCAAAATACAGATTCCATCCTCTTTTCATACACCCTTCTTTTAAGAGAGTTCCCTTTTCTTTCTCTTTTCTGCACCCCCCTCTCCCTTCCTTCATTCCATCCCGAACTGTCAATCAAGGGGAGTAGGGCACGCCTCTCGAATGACATCCGATTGGGCGTACCGATGACGTCACGAGGAAGAAGAAAAGGGCGGGATCGAATTAGGCTTGTCGGAAAAGGGGGGACCACCTGCATTCGCTTTCGAATTCGACGTGTGTAAAACACCACGAGTGTGTTCTGTGGTGTGGTGGCGACAATTGTTTTCTGGAACGTTTTGCGATTTTGTTCTTTTTGCATTCGATATTGGCTGTGACATCGTCGCGTGCACACCATTAACTACTGTTTGACCTGTGGTGCAGAAAAATGTTGTAAAAGTCATTGAAACGTATTTACCGATTGAGTGAAGACATGTTTTCATAGGTCATCATCATGCTTTAGTGTATAGGATCTCTGGTTTATTAGTAGTACGCACCTAGGGAGAGAGGTCCATAAATAACTCTGGAGTACGGTGGTGGCAATTTGGGAGCGGGGAGTAGCTCCTACAGCAAACCGTACGGCCGGCTCATGGTGTCCGTCATGAATCTGCTGCACGGGGATCACCACGGGCGACCTCCCTTGGGACACCATCCCCACCTGTCGGTACTGTCCAACACGGCCTCGAGTCCTCGCCCGACCAGCAATCCAAACAGTGGACCTTCTCATCAACGATCTCCATTTGCAATCCAAGAACTTTTAGGACTGGGGAATAATGACAATGCAAATGATTCCCCTTCACCCAATCGCACCCATCTTCCTTCTTCTGTTTCATCGTCTGCTGTCGGTCCCCACTGCTCCCCTTACCAGCCACGGCCCCACCAGCCCACCGCGGCCCAATGTTTTCCGGACCCCAGCCGCATGTACTTCGGCACGGCTTTCATGCCAAACATGGCGGGAACCATGCATGGCATGACCGCACCGCCCATGCCCATGATGGGTTTCGATCAAGGACCCCAGTCACACCATTCTAGAACAGACGGCGGCGGTAAGTCCTCTCTTTTATGACACTATTTCATGTTGTACACGCCTCCAATTTTATTCCACTACAATAATTGTACTTTTTGTTGTTGTGGAGATATGTGAACTTTTGAGAGCTCATATAAAATGTGTTATGATTCTTTATATTGTCATTTAATATTCACGCGCATTCAAATAGGAGGGTATTCTGATAATGTTTGCAATTCATTCTCGTGGACAAAACAATACAGTTTTGTTTAATAATGTTTGCAATTCATTAGAAACTATTCAGTTTGTTTAATAATGTTTGCAATTCATTAACAACTATTCAGTTTTGCTTAATAATGTTTGCAATTCATTAAAAACTATTCAGTTTTGTTTAATAATGTTTGCTATTCATTCTAATGTCTACAATTCATTCTCGGGAAAAATTATTCAGTTTGTTTAATAATGTCTACAATTCATTTTCGGGAAAAACTATTCAGTTTGTTTAATAATGTTTGCAATTCATTCTTAGAAAAAACTAGTCAGTTTGTTTAATAATGTTTGCGAAACAGTATCGGGAAACATTATTCGGGTACTTTCGTTTTATAATGTTTGTTTAAAAGGGTAAAATGTAAATTTAGAACATCAAATGTTCAATATACATTTGCTGAAACTCATCAGTAGTTGTTTTGTTTGAAGTAGTACCTTTTTCTGCTCTAATAATTTTATTCTTTGTTTACTCGTTTTGTTTCCAACATAGTTAGGTTTATGAAATACAGAAAAACTTACATCTTAATAGATTTGAGTAACTATTTTTTTATTATTTATTTATTTATGGGTAAAATAAACGCTTTCAAGTAATAATGACTAATGTCCCAAATGCTTATTCGTTTATTAATTTTTGCGAAGAAAAAAAATATATGTTTCAGAGAAGATAATGAGACCAGAATCTGATTGTTTTGCATCTTGCGGTGGGCATTTAAGGCAGTATTTTATCATTATTATTATTATTTTCTAGCTTTTAGTAAGAGCAATTTTTGTCGTTTCAAAGTATTATTAATAATGAAGCATTAATAATATAAGCTCTGCTTCAAAGCAATGTTACTTACAAATAAGGTAATGTTTTACCATTTTTATTATTTACTCAAGAAATTATTTCACACGGTGTATACAAAAAAATTCTGTTATAATTTGATGAATTGAATTAAGAATAATTTTATACCTCTACCTAAATTCTTTTTACTCTTTTGTGATAAAGATTGAGTATTTTCACTTACTTACTAGAATTTTATTTTCCCAATTTCTACACGAAAGCATTATAAATTATTCTTTTTAATAATATTCATATCGAGTCAATTCTAAGTGAATATAATTATTAATTAAGACATTTATACGAATGCATCTCCCTTTAATGAGATAAAATACATAATGGAACTTAAATAGAGAAACAGTAATGTTTTATTTAGCGGAGTGTAGCTCATTCAGATATTTACTTTAAAAACAGGAAAGATTAAACCTTGAAGTAAAAAAAAAGTAAACTAAATAGAATATTTTGCTTCCTATCAAATCGAAAAATGGAGTAATCAATAAAAGAAATATTTTATTCTAAAGGAATCATTTTATGATTGAACTAAACTAAACTGCATGACAATATCTGGTAGTTGAGTCTACTTCTTGCAGCCATTCATTCATGTGTGTGTATATATATATACATATGTATTTAGTTATCAATTGTTCAAATAATGTCGTATGATTAAAAAAAAAAAAGTTTACTCTTGGATAATAAACAACTGCAATTTTAAAAGCATGCACAAAATTGGCATAATATTAATTTATTATTAACCCCATTATTATTTTTATTATTGTAAAATGCATTTATTTACGCGAAATGTAATAACTGAATTCATGAAATATTAAAGTAATTAGTTTTTATTGCGTCTTCAAGCTTTCATGAAAATGTACGCCAATGTAAAGAGTTTATTAACAGTTACTTATATCTCTTAATTTAAATAAAGGGATAAGAAAAGCACATCACTCTTTCAGGAATATGTATATATTTAAATGAAAAGTAATGGCTGTTTTACTACCGTCTAATAACACAAATTTGATTGCTATTTAAAAAAAAAAAAACTATTTTTGTTGCGAAGAGAAATGAATAAATATTTAAATTAAATTAAACAATAAATTCATATTACAAATCCTCCCAATTCTAAAAATAGGAGAAGGAAAAGTATACTAGTCAAAACTACTAGAATATGGTTAATGTGTGTAAAATTTAATAAAAAGTAAGGTCATTTTTGCAGAAGCGCTTTTGTACGATTAAAAACAAAATATTGTTTCACATCACGTGATAAAATTTGGTAATTTTTCCTTATATATTAGAGCAATGTTTCCCAAACTTATGACTTTTGTGTACCCTGTCTAAATTTTTCGTAAAGCTGTGTGCCACTAATTAAAAAATGAATGCATTTTTTTAAAAATATGTTTACTTTTCCTTTTGGTATAAAATTTTCACTAAAAAATTCTGTGTTAGAGGGATTAAAATTATATTTTATAAAAATAATCTAAATAAGTAGAATTTATTACAAACCTTTACAATAAAAAAATTGCACAAAAGTTAAAAATCAAAACTAGCTGTTAACACCACTAATAAAGTTATGACATATTAACTGTTAGCTCTGCAAAAATAGCCAAACGAAAAATACGTAATCGCAAATTTCCATGGTTGGTTTTGTTTTTAAATAAAAGTTTTTTGAAATTTTCGTTTGTTGCAAGATATTTGGCATAAGAACGCGTACCCCCTCTAAACTGTTCCCATATCCCTGGGGGTACGCGTACCAGACTTTGGGAAACGCTGTTTTAGAGCATGACATTAAAACCATTTATTCGGTTAAATTTACTTTTCAGTTTTGTATTGTTTACTAAATGTGTGGTAATAAGAAATAAAATTTAAAAAGCCGAAACTTCTAGTAAACCGGTACCATAAAAATAGTTTATATATTTTATATTTTCGCTAATAAAATAAGTTTATTATTAGTAGAAATGTTTTTGACGGACATTTTATCAAAATTTCTTTCTCCGTGCATTTTAGTTATTCTGTGCGATACGAAAACAAAATGAACCCCACATTTCTTTTTAAAACAGTTTTCAGAGAATAAATACAATTTTTGACAAAAACCTTTTTCATTCTAAGATGGTCTAATCCCTAAATTAGAGATTTCATTCAAAAAGGAGTGTGGGGCCGGGATAGCCTTGTCGGTAGGGCGCTGGGCCCATATCCAAGAGGTCGTGGGTTCGATCCTCGCCGGCTGAAGACTCCCCGTGTAGTAAATGGTGACTGATGCACGTTAAATCTGTCGAGTCTCAAAGTCCTCCATGTTCCCACAACAAATCAATACCTCTGGGGGTACTGATCCAGGAGTTTCCTTGTCTNAAAAAAAAAAAAAAAAAAAAAAAAAAAAAAAAAAAAAAAAAAAAAAAAAAAAAAAAAGAGTGTAAAGAATCGACAAACCAATGGTCTATATCAGGGATGGTCAAGCTCCTTGATAGTCGAGTCATTTTTTAAAAGTTGAAATTTTTCGTGAGCCGCAATTAAATACTTATTTAAAAGGTATGCAAAAAAGTTATTAAAAAAAATTTTTTTTTACATAAATTATATTTATTGAGAGCATATAAGTAAAAGTACAAAACAAGTGTATTGAATTTAAATATTAATCACATTTATTTTACTTCTCTTGATAATTCTTTAAAATTTGGTGAATAATTGGTGACAGCACTTCTCAGTAATTCTTTGAGATGCTGGTTAGTTAATACTGATCGGTGTTTGGATTTCACGAATTTTAAAGTGGAATAAAATGATTCACATAAGTACGTTGTTCCGAATATTGAAATAATTCGACAATCAGCCTTTTTTAATTCAGGATACTTCGATTCTGGTACAAATTTCCAAAATTCAGTAATCGACGTCGACTTATATTTTAATTGTAGAGCTTGATCTTCTTGCATCTCTATTAATTCTAATTCTCCAGATGCTTTTTGTGTCATAATTATGTTGGAAATGGAAAACTCACCTTGAATTGAACAGCGTTGCACTTAGTCTTTCATATTTGTTCTCAGTAATATAAAAGACATTTTGAAACACGTACGGAACGATAATAATTTTTTAAAATAAAATATCACAAAAATGAAAAGGGAACTCGGGTACATTTATCGAGAGCCGCAGATAATCCTTCAAAGAGCCGCAGGTTCGCCACCTCTGGTCTGTATGAAAAGTTAAGTTTTAAATAATTAAATTATCTTTTCAAAAATGTCTAGTTCTAAGTTCATGTAACATCGTGCAATATCTAAATTACTGATTTATTCAGCTTAAAAAATTTTTTAAATATTCAATAACACGTGAGAATGAAATGTCTATAAAATATTATCTAAATTCACGTAAAGTTGTTCCTGAAATTGTTTCTGAAAAGGATCCATTTAAAATTTTACTATTCTAAACTCATGTCTAATATAATGCCTAGGCATTCTATAGAATGACAAATGCTATTTAGGCAAAGTATGAAAAAAATGTCCTGATGAGGTTTTTATGTAAATGGTGCGCATTTCTCCACAAAAGTGTTATTCTGAAAAAATAATGAGAGTGGTATTAAAAAATATATTTATTCAAAATGCGTAGAGAAAAATGAAAGTTGTACAAAACATAATTTATGTTCTTATTAAGGGAAACAAAATGTTCAGATAAAAAAAATAAGAAATTAACCTATTTGTTGCAATATGGCAGGCCTGAATTGTCATTTTGAATTACATTTCATTACATTACAAAACGAATCGGAGATGCATTTTATACTTTGCCGATTTCTCATTTGGCATTTTATAGAATGCCTGGGAAATGTGTGAAATATAAATCGTTTCATACATTGCCTGCTAGTTTTAGGCTTTATATACAATGTCTAGGCACTCTATAGAATGCCGGATTTCAAAATTTGCCGGTAACATGTATGTAAAAATGAACTAATATCAATGTATTTCAATATGAAAAGTTTGCATTTTCAAATAAAAATAAATGCAAAATTCGTATGAGATTGGCAACTGCTGATTTGGAACATGTTTTTTTTAGTAAGTAAGAACTACATTTTCTATTGTTTGTGAAGCGTATTTTGTTCTATATCAGTCAAATATGCATCTCAAACATATGTATCACTCCAAAAACTT